TCGCGCCTTCCCACATGCTAGGGGGGGGGGTGGGGCGTGAGCAGAAGTGCGCCCCCCTCCCTGGAAGCGATGTCCGCCTGCTCTAAAATCACGAATCCTGCTCCTCCGTTTAAGGCGTTCACTCGTCCCAACCGGGGGCCGCAGACTCGTTCTGCGCGCCAACGGCTGGTGACGCTGTGTTGCCCTTGAGCTAGTCCTTCCCCGGTCGCCTAGCCTCTGCGCTGTCTGGCGGACGCCTGTATGCCATGCACGCGGACCACGCTTGCGTGGATACGTGGCTGGCAGGCTGACCCGTGTGCGGGGTAACCCGCGCACGGGGAAGCTTCACGGGTTCGAGCCGTCAAACATTGAGCAGCGGAGGTGTGCCGAGGGGGACCGGGAGGCGGTAAGCCGTCGTCGCCCGGCGCTGCATGCAGCACCGTGGCGATGGCGCTAAGAGGTTCCTCTTTTCCGCGCCCCCCCCGCAAGGCGCGCGATACACACCTCCGCGGCTACCGCGCTTTCGCTCGACGACACCGTGGAGAATCGCACCGAGGACCTTGCCGAGGCGATAGGCCGAATCACTTTGGGCCCCGCCCCCGCCCCCACCCCTCGGGGTGGGGGCACCCGCCCCTGTCGGGCGCCGCTTGCGGCGCCTGGCAGGGGCACCCCCTGGGTGGGGGCCGGCGATTCCCATGCCGGCTCTCCGCCACAACCCCCGCCGGGAGGGAATCCCTGCTCACAGAAAAGGGCTTCGAGCCCTGTCTCGCGCACGCCCCTGGCGGGCGCCGCGGACCAGTTCCGCGAGCGCTCGTCAGCGGGTGGTGTGCGGTTCTTGCCGTAGTTCCTCTTCGGTCGCCTAGCCCCGGCGCCGTCTGGCGGACGCCTGCGTGTCACGAGTGCGAGCCGCTCGCGGTTCGTACGCCCGCTTGCGGGTTCGAGTGGCGGGCTATCCCGCTTGCGGGATGGCTTAGCGGGTTCGAGCCGTCACACATTGGCTGCCGGGGTGTGCCGAGGGGGGGCTGGGTGGGCGGTAAGCCGTCATTGCCCGGCGCTGCTTGCAGCGCTCTGGGTGGTAGTGGCGGCGCTCCAAGAGTGGTGCTCTTGGGAAGAGGTTCCTCCTTTCCGCTCCCCCCCCGCAAGGCGCGAGACACACACCCTGTCAGTTTGCGGGCGCGTCGCGTCTCTCTGGCCCCCGCAGCGTGGCTCTTTCGTACCACAGTGATGCCGCAGGAGGCCGGCCTGTGGGTGGGCCGCATCACGCACGACCCGTGGCCGCTGCCGTCTGCCGCCTGGCCTTTTCGCCGCCGCCGCCGTGCGTCCCCGTCATTCTTTCTTGGCATGTGTTTGTTATGACCCCCCCCCCACACACACACCCCCAATACACTAGCGAGGGAGGGGGAGACGACGAACGAGGGATCCCGTACCACGCGGAATCGACCCTATCCAGTGCTCAAGTGCTCAAGTCCGGGTCCCTTGTACCCACTGCTGCTTGACAGCCCGAGATCAAGCTCACGTCGGCATCGTGCACCTCCGATGGCAGCCTCTCTCGCGATCGCAGCGACCGCCTTTGCTGCGCCCTCCCGCCCTGCGGTCGGCGCGGAGCGCGCCGGCGTGCAGATGAGCGGCGTGGCTCGCAATGCCAACTTTGGCAAGCTGCAGGTCCGCATACGCCCGTCGCCTCCTCGCGCGGCCGA